CTCTTCATCTGTCTCAGGGCTTGGTGAAATCTCGGTGTAAAAGCTGATGGCGTATGGTTTGGACTGCTTTTGTTCCTCTACACATGGTTTGTTTATGTCCAGGGAGAAACTTCAGTGTGCTAAAACCTAAATTCCATCTGGAGTTAACTGATAAGTGAGCCTTCCCTATGCCTTTTGGTATGCAGTGGAATCTGGGAGCTCCAGGGGTCGAGCACCAGCACCCAGCAGCTTTCCAGCCTCGAAGCTGCTGTTCGATGGGCCACGGTAAAGCAAGGTGCTGGTGACCGACCAGCAAATTTCTTGCAGAATTTTCATGCAAGTTTATATATGTGTATATATATATATGTATACATACATGGCTCTGTGCTTTGTGCTTTCAGCGCTTCAAATCAGGGCTTTAGTCTGGGGCTTTGTGGCTGGCTGAATCCGAGTCCAGACAGTTTGCTCTTCACTGAGTTCCTTCTGCAAGGTTGTGGCTGAATGTCATGGTGCTAAGGATTAAGTCCTGTCCCCCTGGCTATCAGTTCAGGTTTGTTTTGAGGTGGTTATTCTGTCAAATGTCAGTGAATGCCGAGCATCCACCCCCTCCCTCCCTGAATGTCCAGGCTATGCGGCAGAAGTGTTTCTAAAAATCCCTTCTTACCTTGGGATGAAGTTGCCTTTTTGTGTGTAAACTGGATAAAGACAGAATGTGCACCACAGCCCTTCTGAAAGTTGTTTTTCCTTTTACTGATGTAGAAATGTTCTTCAAGTTGATTTTCAGGAAGAACTGATTACTGAAATGATCCAAGGCTGGAGGTGCAGAAGATGACAGGAGCAAACGGTGCACGGCTTTGCTCGCCAGCTGCAGGGCTGAGATGTAGAGCTGAACTTGGACTTCGTAAAATGTCAGCCTGGCTTTTTTCTTTTTCCTTTAAATCTTGGATCTAAAGGAGAAAGGGCCCCGGTGGCACGGCATGCCAGGTGCAGCGGGGCTGGATCCTGCGCCGGCCTTTGCTGCCGGCTTCTCATTCACATTCCAAAGGGGCGTCCAGTGGGTGGGAAGGTTTCCCACTCAAGCATGCTTCTAAGTCCTTGGGCCCATTGAATGGGTTTCGTGCTCTGTGAAATGTCTGCTCGTTGGGTGATATGGACCACTGGAGCAGGGCAAGGGAAACTCATTTCACTGGGGGCACCTTCACAGCCCTACAAGCAAAAGGTCATGCTGCTCAGACTTTGATTGGAGCTGCTGAAGAGCAGTCACTAATCCAATAAGCCACCGGGGCACTGTAGGACATAGTCTTAATTCAGGCATTTGCAGGGGTGAGTGAAAGGCAGTAACCCTGGGAGATCCCAGGGAACGCCCTGCAGTGCAGAGACCCTACCTGGCCCGCGTCTTGCTTAATAAAATGTTGTGAACATCAAGCACTCGGGAGCATGCTGCGCTGGCCTTCGGACCCTGATTGTGCTGTACGAAAAATAAACAGCTTAAAATAAAGGTGTTTGTTTCCTGGTGGGCATTGGCTGTGCTGGTCGGTTTTGTTCTGGGACTCAGATAAAACAGCAGAGCTGTTGGGGTGCAGAGGTCAATATTCTATATGTATACATACACATATATTCATAACAACATGCAGCTAAGTGATATTTCTATTTTTCCACAGATACACGTGAGCCGCCCAATCTGTTTTCTGTGCTCAACTCTGTTCTTCAAGGCTGGTAGCCTGAGATTCACTTAATATTGGTATTATTCTCCAGGTAACTACTGGGATTTTAAAGGACGTTGTCAGACTACTGAGGCACAAAACGTGGATCCATTTTAAATGAAGAACTCGTGTGTGATTGCAAATGAAATGCTTTCATAATTAAAAAAAGATTCAACGTGCCCTCTTTAAAACAACCCCCCCAGGTGTTCCCCTGGCAATTCTCACTGTTTAAGGTGCTGTAGCTTCTGTAGTTTTCCATGACGCTGGGGGAATTGAAATTATAAATATTAGCGGCAGCCTCACAAATTACTTTTCTAGCCATGCAGCTTCCATGCGGGTGCAGCAGCCCTGGGCTGGCTCGGGTGTTGGGCAATGCCATCAGCCGCTGCCTAAGGAGCCTTTTCTCAGAGGCGGGTGATGAGGCTGCACGATGCAAAGCCCCGAATTGGTGGGATGGGCACTCGCGGCCGCTGCAGGGAGCTCCGTCCCTTCCCCAGTACATCGCCAGCGGCGTCAGACCCGTCTCACAAAGGCACATGGTAGAAAAGCATGAATTTCCCTTTCGCTACCATTTGCATCACTGGGGTGTGCAGGTGTAAATCACCATCCTGCTTAACGACCCTGAGGTCCTCGAGGCCAGGTGATGGAAAGCAGCTGATGAGCTCAGAGTGCTGAAAGTTCTGCTCATGGGGGAGAGGGGGGGAAGGTTGTGCAGGGGATGCTTTGGATTTGAAAACATCACCAAGAAATCCCAACTTCCATATTACGGTCGTTGAGTGTTTTCCATCCTCATGGAAGGAGGAAAACGCAACGCTTTCCCCTGGCACAAGATGTCACCTGTATGAAAGTTTGAGCTTTGAGGCTTGGCGGGACGAACCTGATGTCTGATGATAACAGCTTGGTACCATCGCAGCAAGGATGGGGGCAGAGTTTCGGGGACCCATTTTCTATGTGGATCCTGCTTCCTCAATGATAACTGGGGTTGGGGAGAGAGAAAGGTGATATGGAGCAGGAGAAATCTGGTTTCAGCTGAGGATGACATCCTTGGTCCGGTGTGGTCCGTGTGGGAGACTCGGTGGCCTTTTTGGGATCTCTGCTGGACAGACCATCCTCCTCCTCAGCATGTGGTTTGCAGCAAATTAATTTGACAGCCTTGCATTTGTGCATAAAGGAGAGTTAAAGGGGCAAAAACTTACCTAAGGAGGGCCGGAGGAACCCACTGGGGCCCAACTCCTGCCCCGGGGCTGTTGCTGAGACAGTTCAGATCAATTTTCCGATTGCTCTGAGTTTCAGCGGTCAGGAAAGCAGGGAAGGGGCAATCAAAGCTCACGCTTGCGGATGAGTGCGAGTGGCGGGGAGGAATTATTGCCTTTTGGCTTTGCAGAACCGCGGTGTGTGTTGTGCAGGGTCTCCTTGGGTGGCAGATACTGGCCTGGGGGGGGTGATGGGCTGATGCATGTGGAAACGCTGGGCTGTTCCCCATGCCGTGGGGTGCCTTTCTCGTGGGTGACTGAGCAGTGCCCAACGACAGAAGGTGGCATAGGCTGGGTTGCTCCCCACCCAAACCACTTTGAGGAAAAAAGACAGATGACGATTAGGAATATATTGAATATTTTCACATCTAAGCTAAATGCTCTCATCCTGCGAGTCCCCAAATTCTGTTTCTGCTGTTTCTGTGTGGGCATCTTGGTGAGTTCAACCCGCAGGGCTCGGGAAAGTGGCTCTGATGGTCTTGGCCAACCTTGGAAACAGCCTTCAGCTGTGGGAGGTGCCGTGGGGCCGCTGTGACGGGGATGTGTGGTGCCACTGATGTTGGTGGTGGCATCAGCAGTTGACAGTGGCTTGGATTTTTTTTGTTTGTTTGTTTTCACTTGTGGATCCTTGAGACCAAAAGTGTGAAGACCGTTAGATATATCGCATACGTGTATTAGTGCTGGTGGTTTTATAAGAACTTGTTTTGGTCACCATTCTCAAACTTGCTAACGTTTTTTGGGCCTGAAACTGTGGTCTGAAAACACTGTGATTTGGTGTCTGAAGGGTCCTCAGTGATGAACTCCAGGGATTAAAGATGCTGCTTGATTTGTGGCTGAGAACACGGGGGGGAGCGAGCCCTTCGGTCCCCGCAGATGTGGGAGCAGCAGGGCCCGACATGCTGCACCGATGCGCGCTGTTATTCGAGTGGAGAATTTGGAAAGCTCAGAGTTATGAGCTATGGTTATGTTCTCACTTAATAAGGTGTTAACTGACGTTAGGCGCTCTTCGGAGAGTTCGACTATGCGTGGAGGTTAACAGTTCCTGGCATTTTGTCTGCTATAAACGAGCTTTCAGAGACGGGGAGAGCGTTCCCGCACGCTCTCGGCGTGTGAATTTTTTTCTTTACCTGAAAAAATAAAAAATAAACGGCGGGGGGGGGGGGGGGGGGGGGGGGGGGAGCGATGTTCCCGCGGGTGCGCGGCGGGTGCGCGGCCGCTGGAGGGCAGGCGAAGCGTGCGGAGCGGGCGGGCAGCGCCGGCCGCGGCCCGGGGAGCACCGGCCGCCCGCGGGAACCGGGCCCCGCCGGCAGCCGCCCGCCGGGGGAGCGGGGCCGGGCCGGTGGCCCCGGCGGCGGGGGCGGGTGGCCCGGCCCGGGGGGGGAGGGGGGGGGGGGGGGCCGCGCCGGGGCCCCGCTGGCGCCCGCCCGGGGCTCGCCGGGGCCGGGACGCGCTGCTGCCCGCGCCGAGGTAAGAGCGCACCGGGCACCGGGCCCCGCGGCTCGGCCGGGCGCGGGGGGAGCGGCGGCGGCTCACACGTGTCTGCGGAGCGGGGCAGCAGCCGGTCTGGTGGGGCTTGTGGGGTTTTTTGTCTTTTTTTTTTAAATACTTTTTTTTTTTTTTTTTTTCTCTTTTTTCTCCTCGCGTTTCGGGCGAGCAGCGGCGCTGCCCGCTCCGTCGGGCCGGGGAGGGCGCGGAGGGGGCCGGCGCAGCGCAGCCCTCTCTCTTCCCCCCCCCCCCCCCCCCCCCCTTTTTGTTTTGCTCTTATTAAAAAAAAAAAAAAAAAAATTACTTTCCTGGCCGCCCCTGCCCTCCCGGGCGGGCGGCGCAGGCGGTGCCCCATCCGCGCAGGCGGTGCCAGCCCCGCGGGGGGCTGCCCGGGCGGGTCCCGCCTCCCGCTCCGCGCCCCGCGCATCGCCATGCCGCCCGCGCGGAGCGGCGCGGAGCGGGGCGCGGCGGCGGCGGCGCTGTGCGGGCGCGGGGCCGCGGAGAGGCTTTATCCGCCTCGCGGGGCTGGCCCGGGGGGGGCGGGCGGGGGGGCACTTGCTGATGATCGGAAGTTACTGACAATAAGCACCTTCATCCCCCCCAAAGGCGGAGAGAGAGAGAGAGAGAGGGAGAGGAGGAGGAGGAGGAGAGACAGGGGGAGAGGAGAGCTGATGCCTAAGCGAGTCACTCGGAGGAGGCAAAGCGGGCGGTACCACAACTTCTCGGCGGCGCGGAGCGGCGCGGAGCGGCGCGGAGCGGAGCGGAGCTCGCCGGCCGGATCGCTCCCATGTCAGGGCGGCGGTGGGGAACTGCACTCCGCTAGCCTGAAGCCACTGACCGCCCCCCTCTCCTCGCCCAGCGATGTATTCACTGCTCTCAGCCTGCACTTGCCTGTAAGGATTATGGCATATTTTAAAATATTTTTTTTTATATTTTTTTCTAACATTTTTTAAATTGGTTTTTCTTTTTTTTTTTTCTTTTTTTTTTTTTTTTTAAAAAAAAACTTTCATTTTGGAGGCTCCGGTTGCATTTTCCTTGCAATCAGGTGGTAATCGGGACCCGAGCCTTTTGATAAGCAGAGCATCGCTCTGCGCCCTTTAAAAAATTGCAAATAAAAACAAAGAAAAAAAAAAAAATCAACTTTAACCATTTTACCGCATCATTTGATCTTTTGTTGCTTTTTTTTTTTTCTCCTCTCCAGATGTTTACATTTCCTGCTGCTGTGCTTTCAGGTACAGGTACGTGCCCTTTCTGTCCTCTTTCGCTTTTGGTTGTAAAATAGAAACAAAGGCGGCGTGCTGACCTCGGAGTGCCAGGCAGTTTTGGCTAGGGCTTTCACTTTTCTGCTCTCCCCCCCCCCCCGCCTCTAGTTTTTACAGCCGTCTTACACCCATCCCCACGCCAGATGCCGGAGTGTCCCTCGCGCGGGGACGGGGCATCCCTCCCGCCGGTGGCGGCTGGCACGGCGGGCGCTGGGCCGGGCGCGGGCCGGGGCGCAGCCGGTAGCCGCCGTAGCGGGATCCTCTGGAGCGCATTAGCCTGGCTAATGATGTGAGAGGGAGTGCTGCGCTCTCCTCCTTGCACAATGTTGATTGATGCACTTGCCTTGGAAGAGCAAGCGCTCTCCTGCTCGCCCTCTTTTTTTTTTTTTTCCTTCTTCTTTTTTTTTTTTTTTTTTATTTTTTTTTTTTTATTTTCCCCCCTCCTAAGGAACTTACTCCCAAAAACCGATACTTTGAAAAACACGACTTTCCCTCGCCAGGAGAAGGAGGCTGCGTGCTCCCTCCCCATTATTCAGTAGAAAGCCTTCCAAGTCAGATCCTGCCTTTGATCCTGCCTCGGCAGGAATGAAGCCGTTGGAGGAACACCCTGAGCGGCGAGGCTCTGCAGCCCAGGCGCCCGCGGGACGGGGACGGCGGCTGGGGGTGCCCGGGGGGTTCCCGCTGCCCCCCAGCAGCCCCGGGGCCACGCACCTCCCGGGGATGGGGGATTTGGGCCGGAGCATCCCGGGGCTGGCCCACCTGCGGGAGCGGGCAGAGCAGGTGCCGCTGCCCCCGCGGCTCCAGCCCCGCCGTCCCGCCGGGGCCGGGGGCCGCTCGGGCCCCCCCTCGGCCCCACGTCGTGTTTTGGCCAGGGTTGCACCTGCTCACCCTCTTGCAGGTACCCGACGGCAGCGAGGGATGGTCCTGGATCAGCACAGCCCCGCAGCGTCAGAGGGGGGTCCAGCCCTCTGGCCAAGCTAAACCCCAAACCAGCCCCAGCTCCTGCTCCCCCACCCCTCAAAAAAAGAAAAAAAAAAAATCCCCGGTCACATTTTTTTTCTCATCCCCTCTGAAAACTGCAGCTCGAACCTAACACCAGCAGAGCCTCCCCTCGGCGGAGCAGCCTCCTCGTCAGGAGAGGATCCACAGCTGTAAATTACCCTGCGGTTGGAAGGCGTTTGCTGTATTTCTCCGGTGCGTTTTTTTTTTTTTTTTTGCTTTTTTTTTTGTTTGTTTTTTTTTTTTTTCAAGCCCGAGGAATTACAGGCTGCGCAGGGCTCGCAGCGACGGCACCCTTTGCAGCGGGGAGACATTTTTTTGCGCTTGTGCGGTAACTGAAGTTAATCAGCCCTTCAGCCCCCTCCCTCTCCCCCTCCCTTTGGTGCTTTTAGTGAATCAGAAAAAGTTTGGCTGGCTGCCTGGAAAGCACTTGCTAAAATCTGATCTCTTACTTCAGCAGCCTTAAAACTTGGGAAGTTATTGGCATTTATACAGTTGGAGCTTGCAGGCTTCCAAAGCAATAAAATAATAAAAAAAAAAAAAAAAAACTCTGCGCTCTGGTGCTATTAGAACCATACTTGCTCCCTTTCGTGCTGATTTTGCAGCATTTTGCGGGGTTTGAGGCGGGGATTGGCTGCGGGTAGGCGCTGCCGAGGTGTCCTGGGCCGCGGCTGGAGGGGCAGTGGATCGCGCTGGGTGTTACACCGAGAGGCGAGCTCTGTCGGCGATTAGCGTTGGGAGCCAAAACATTAGATTAGTCATACTCAAGGGCCTTCGAGTGAGTGTTTACAGTATTAATGGTAGATGAAAAGATGTGAACGCTGTAAGTTTTTATTGCCCATTTTGTTACACTTTCTTTCTGGATTTATTCACGGGATTACATGTTTTGAGCCTGAATGGGAGCGAGGGATTATAGGATTTCTTTTATAATGATCAGTTTGGGTAGGAGTTAGCCTTTGGTGAACTGGAGTAAATTAAGGCATCACTTAGGTTTAATATTTATTTAGGCTAAAGGAAATTGTTTAGTTTTGCTTAAAGGGCTCTGTGTTGTATTGGGGAGATTTAAGAGCGCCTGAAATGGATTATATTCTAAGGCCACCTTTCACCCTCCCGTGCAAGCCATGATCAGTGGGTCGTCCTACATGTTAGTCTTAGAATTACGCTCCTCTGCTGCTGACTGTTACCCTGTGGCTCTGCATGCAAAGGTAAAAATCCCTCCAGCATGTGTGTTCTGGAGTGAAATACCACGGCTCAGGTATTTTATATCTTCTAGTAGTTCCTCTTGTACAAAGACGGCGGTGCGTTGAGATGCAGGCTGCCTGCAGTTAGGTGGTATGGTAGCTCAGCTGCTGGCTGAAAGCTTTGTGGTGGGGCCCCAGCCCGCCTCCACAGCCGCCCGTGGGTGACCCCGTGGGGTGCAGCATCACCATTACCCCTGGGTGGGGTGCAGCATCACCCCTGGGTGGGTTGTGGCAGCACCGGGGAGGCATCGCCCAGCCCGGTCCGTGGGGAGGCCGGAGGGACGGGAGTTTTCAGGAGCCGGATTTAGATTCCCAGACGAGCCAGACTCCTCCAGGGCTTTGCTGTGGGGTGACATTGTCACGAAGGGACACCAGGGAACAGCGCGTGGCAGGTCAGAGGGGAGCGCTGCTGGAGCACAGGCGCTGGGTGCTGGCACGGCCAGGAGAAGCAGCCCTGTACCTTGCAGGGCTTTGAGGGGAACAGCTCGTTCTTGGGTCCCTTCCCCCGTGGCAGCAATATCCCTGTCTTGTTTCCTTCTCTTGCATCTTGGGAAGTTCCTCTGCTGCTTGGGGTTTCTGCAGTCCCGAAGGCAGCAGGGACACTGAATATCCTTGGGGACACTGGAGAGATTAATTTATTTAGGTAGGTTGTTCTTAGGGACGCCCTTTCACCGCTGGTTACTAAACTCTCCCTCTGTTGCTTATCTTTTTGCATCCTTCAGTTTAATTCTCCCGCTGCCTCCTCGCACTTCCAGGAGCAGTTTGTCCTCCACGTGCTTTTTCCCTCCATATGTCCCGGAGCGGTTTCAGGTTTGGCTTTGGTGTCAGTCCCTGCTCTTCATGGGAGTGAGAAACCCCAGGAGCCCCTTGCATGGAGGGAGGGGATCTCCCGTGCTGTGCCAGCTCCGGCAGCCCTGGTGGCACTTAGGACATCGGGCACACGGGACGTCAGGAGCTCCGGGTGCTTCGCCGGGTCGGGTAGGGGCTGGAGGCAGCGAGCGGTAGGATGCGAGGTTTTGGGTCCTGCCCTGGTTTGTGACAGCTTCCAGCTCTTCTGCCCCTGGGCATCGTCAGCCCGGCTGCGGGGCGATGCCGGCGCGGGCTGCCCCGGCCACGCCGTCGAGCGGAGGCTGGTGCTGCCTCAGCCTCTTCCCTGCCCTGGTAAACCTCGGCGTGTTCTTCTGCATGAAGCGCATCTGTCTTAGATTATGAAGAGGTCTCTGATAGGGCCAAATCCTTTGCTTTTATGGCTCTTGTAGGTTAAGATCCAGCTTTGGAATCCGATCCAGAAGCAAACAGGAGGTCAGAGGAGCACGCTCAAGGCAGCACCGGGCTATTTTCACATCTGCTGGTGTTGTGTAAGAGGAAGGCTGCCGTGCGCCATGCCAATAGCAACTTATGTTTCTCCTAAGCTCCTGTGCAGCGACAGACCGTTATTGTTTGGGGCTTTGTAAAGTGAGACACGGAGAAGTGTTGCTTCCACACGTTCAGTGAGCCAGATCCTGCGGTCTGGCGAAGCTGTGCGCAGCACATGTCGGAGGCGTGAGCCTGCTGAGCGGTTCCCTCCCCTCTCCCCCGTCTGCTCCTCCGCCGCCATCCTCCCCCCGGGGGTGGTTGGCCGCGAGCGCTGCCGAACGGCGCTGGCGACACTGTGGTGGACAAGCCAGCGCGTGGTCCTTGTCACAGCCCGGCTTGCCTTGCCCCGGGGCTCCCAGCCGCCCCTTCTGCGGGCCTGACGCGGTGCTGGGGCCAGGGGTCCCTGCTCCCTTGCCCTCCTGGCAGCAGCGCTGGTGGCTGGCACCGGAGGCGGGGTGCTGGACCGCGCGGCCCCAGCGGGGTTTATTCTCACGCCCACCCCCCCACCCCCCCGCGGGTGGGCACCCACCGCCTTGGGGTGACACGAGCATCTGTCTGGAGATGGCGGCCCAGGCTGCGGGGGACTTGGGCATCGCTGCATCGCTCTCGAAGCCCCCGCTGTGGGATAGGCCAGGCGCTATTTCGATGCGGCGTGCCGCTCCGCACCTCCGCAGACTCGGCGGGGGGCCCGCCGGCGAGATCCTGCGCTCCCCCTCTCCGCTCAGCCTGGCCCGGGACCACCGAGTCCTCGGCACAGCATCCCCCCCCGCGCCGGCACCTCCCGCCTGCTCCACAAGGGTGTCTGAACCCCCCTCAGATGAAGGTCGTGCTCCTCCGTGAAAAGGTCTGGAGTGGGTTACTCTTCCCAGCCTTGTCTCGCCGTGGTTCCTGCCGTGCTGCAATACACCCCCCTGCCTCCCGAGCCGGCCCACCCCGCGCTCGTGCGGGGCTGCTGGCACACGGGAGCGATGCTGTGACGGACAAAACATGGCAAAGGCGGTCTGGGAAAGGCTGGGAAGTTTTCTGTTGATTTTTCTGATCGCAGCCGACTCTTAATTATTAGGCAGTGAGAAGACGAGAGAAACTGCATAAGCAAAGCCTGGTTTAATTAGAGGAGGAGGAGCTCAGCGATGTTGATGAAGGGCATGACCCCATCACGGGCTGGGGCTGATGAGATGGTCCACAGCTCTGGGTCCGTGCTGCTGCCGGACTCGTGGCAGCAGATGCAGTTCCTGCTCTTGTGGCTCTGCTTGTCTGTGACCCGCAGAGGCAGGGTTTGCTTGTATGTTAAATCGCTCGTTCCTCTTCAGAACCCCCTTGCTCTCCAGGAAATGACTATGCTGCTTGCGACAAGGGATTTTGATTCCCCCCTGCTGACTC